GGGAGTTAAAAGAGAAAGGTAAAGCAATATTTAAGTACTAACATAAATTACTAATAAGAAGAACATTGTTTGAATGGCTTTTCAAGCAGACTCAGGAAGATGTACTACAACAAGCCGACTTCAGAGGCTGGGATCAAACCAGCAACCCTCTGATTAGTAGATAAGCACATTTTATTTTATTTGTATTATAGAATGAAGGGACTACTGAATGTGTTTCTGTTGCTGTGACACATTGGTCAGGCTGTCACAGGGTGTTGTTGAAACAGCATTTCTACCCCCCTGACTCACAGCTGCACGACATCACCCCCCACCCCCACCCCACCCACTGCTCTGTCGCCGAGCAAAAGGTGTGCAGAGCAGAAATCTTTCCTATAGTTCACATCTGGATGTTTGTGTATAATTTCTTCCGTTCCTCTGCCTGAATAAGGGTTACAATCATGGTTCAGCGTGACACTCCAGGAATGCACAGAGAGAGAGGGATGGACGGAGATATGATACTTGTGGCTGGAGTGTGTTGTGTGAGAATGGCTCTAAATGCTTTCTAGTATGTCATTATGGAGCTATTCTAAATGGACCAGCATGCCAAGACCAATAAATCTAGTGGAGATTATACTCAGAAGTATCACAGTACATTGACTCTGTTACAGAGAAGCTGCAGCTCAGGATGCAGCGCTGCACTGAGATGCTTTCATAAATCTGTTTTATTTTTCATTCACTGGCTTCTTTCAAATGTGTTATTGAAAGTCAAAACAGTCACCCTAAGAGACTTACATACAGCACTACACTACTGCATCACAATGAAATGGCAATGCCAGGAATATAAAGTAAGAAGAACACATTTCAGAAAATATTTTATTTGCAAATATGTTTTTTTATGTTGGCATCAGACAGAGTAAATGCACAGAGACCGATCTTCTTTCTGCGGGTTGATATGACCGCAAATGATCCTCCTTAGCAACGGTCATGTTATGCCTAGCAGCGGTGTGTTAGCGAGAATGAACAACCTCTGAGATGTCCAAATTGACCAATCAGAATTGAATATTCCTAATAAGGCTCACATGCTTGCTTGCAACCACTGGTGGAACGTAAGCACATCTACTCGAGTTCTGTATTTCAGTATACTGTTATGTTACTTGTACTTTACTTGAGTATTTACTTTTTATGCTACTACATACTTTTACTCTACTACAATTTGGAAGCACCACTGTCCATTTATATGAGAAGAGTAGTAGTTACTTTGGAAATATATATTATTAATACAAAATATTAATAAACTGGATTAAGATTTACCTTGCAGAAAAAAAGCCATTCTGCATAATCAGTACTTTTATATTTTGAACTTCAAGTATATTTGATGCTACTACATTTTGACTAACTTAAGTGGTATTACAACTTGATAGTGAGCACTTCTTCCACCTGCTAAACATGTACATGATAGCATTCTGATTGTGAGCGTGTTAGCACGCTGATGTTAGCATTTAGCTCAAAGCCCTGTTGTGTGCTAGCTGCTAGTATAGCTTCAGACCCAGTTGGTTTATGCTATCAAATAATAACTTCCTACATGTTCACCGAGCTTTCTGATGGAATATAGTTATAGTGTATTTGTCTAGTTATGCTCTGATCAAAGGCTCCAGATTGTTCCAGGTGGATTTGAATAATTTCGCAACAACTTAAAAACATCCTCTTCTTTAATTAGCAATATTGCCAATTTAGTGACTCAGAGGAATTTCTGGACACACACTGACTGATAATTTATGACCAACAAGACCAGATTATATTTCAGTTTACAACACTTAGCTTATTCAAACAGTAGTTTGAAAGATTATGGTCATTCTTTTGCTCATCTAAGTGAGGACTTTTACCGATTAATACCCTTAATGTTACCATGTTAAGTGTGTGTCTGTGTAAGTATTTACATCCAGTTAAATCTAATATTTGATCAGATGTTTATAATCTCTGACGATATATTTGTCTGTGTTCCACAGCTCCACAAATGAAATAGAAGAGAGACACTGACCCAGATGACGAGTTAGGCCATGGAGTGCTCCAACCGACATGAAACTGTGTCTGTTTTGTTACATTTTAGTAGAATGCATGTCTTAAAATCTTCCTGTGGACATGCATGTTGAAGGTGGCGTGAGTGTGAACGGGTAGTGATGGTGCTCAACATGTCTGAGGAGGAAGTGACCAACTGTACCATCAACCATAAAGTCCACCAGTACGTTTTCTCCAGTGTGTACATTCTGGTGCTCACGGTAAGTGTGTGTGCATCTTGAATACCTCCACACAAAAATGTTAAGGTGTGTGAATACTTAATAAAAGCGCACAAGTAACCGTTGAGGTCGTAAACTGAAATTTCCTCCTTGAATTCACCAATGTGCACGCTTTGATGATGTCTGTACGTTTTAGCATTAGCTGTTTTTTATTTGTCAGCACTGTAATAGAATTAGGACAAATGTTGCACTTACTGTAGCCTGAGCACTCTGTAGATTACTCTGTGTTTCGGTCACTTAGCGGTCCCTAGTGAAATACAGGCGGGGAAATCCAAGCATCATTTGAAATGTTATACGGCAGCTGTTTGCGAAGGTGAAGTTTATCATCAAATTTAAACACAAACTCATTTAGAACATTTTATCAATAAGTCCTAAAACCCGGAAATGATTGAACATTTTGGCTCTACCCGTTTGTTAAATCAATGTTTTCTTTTGGTTTGATGCTTTAAATAGATCTTAAGAGCTTTTCTACAAAGTCGTTTTGTTCTAAAACAAATACTCCACTGGTGGATGTCTGAACCTCCAATGTGTCATAAAAACGGCTGTTGCTATCAAGTGACAAAATAAATCAATCACGACAAACACTACCTGCCGTAAGCCTAGCGGTGTGAAGTCATGTGACTGTGATGTAGTTCGTTTATAGGCTAACGTTAGATATTTACTTCTGGCTTTTGCATTTATGCTTCACAAATCCAAAAGTGGTGTTAATATGTGGAGATTATCATGCTGATCAGAATGTCTAAGTATCGTAAATGTGTGTTTGCCACAGATCAGGGAACCCTTGTGATGCTAACTTCTGGGGTTAGCCTGAACAACTGTCAGCACTGCACCACTCCCATGCACACAATGCCTTTTTAGAAACGTTCCACAATATACCTTACCTTTCTGTAAGTGTTTTGTAACCTTAACGGAACTTGCAATACTCTTACTACATGTTAAATATAACCTTGACATGTGCAGATGTTGGACAACAAAAGCCTGAATTTGACAATTGTAGGCATTGGGCTCATAAACGTTGGTAATATGTCAGAATCACCCAACCTCAACGTTCTTGTTTAGTTGTGTAAGCAGAAGGGACGTTTTCTAAGCATGCTGCATTGTAGGAAGAACATAACTAGTGTCAGAGAATAAAATAATCACAATAATTTGTCTTCCTAATCCCAGGTTGGTGTTCCCTCCAACATCTACTCTCTGTACCACGCTGCTGTGCAGCTGAAGCAGAAGAACGAGCTGGGAGTTTATCTGATGAACCTGACAGTGTCTGATCTGTTGTACCTGGCATCCTTACCACTATGGCTGCAGTACTTCTTCCAGGTAAAGTGAAACCCTGCATGTACAATGCAAATACAAAATTGTGTAGCAGTTCATTTCGATTTGCTTTTATTCCCTTTTCACCTACTGTACCTACATACAAAGACTATAGTTTCTGTATATGAATTACAAAAACGCGTTACTGTAATAATATTATTTTTGGCGGTAACGGAGTAGTGTAACGCGTTACTTTTATAATTCAGTAATCACACTACAGTTACTAACATTGCCCCGACACGCGTTACTTCGCTACTTTTATAAAATCAGTCATAATCACACTGACAGATAAGAGGGGTTTCCGCCGCAGGTTTATATGTACGTAATCTGTGCGACTTGAGCGTCCACATCTCCACGTGCAGTGCTGCATAAACATGGCTGAGTCAGCGATAACTTTCGAGGGGTGGAGGTATGTCCATTATTTTGAGTTTGTCCGAAGAATAGACAGGAATGTGACGGTGAGGTGCAAACTGTGTCCAGGCCAGAAGCTGTTATCCACTGCTGTAAAAACCTAGTCAAACCTCAACAAGCACCTGCAAAGAACACGCTAACGCACACGCTATTTGTTTGTTTATATCACGTAGTCTGTTCGGTTTTCCGGTTGTTGCCTGTTTTGAATGACGAATACGGACTACCGCCGCCTGCTGGTAAGGAGAGTTATTGCCACTCACGCATGCGCAGTTTGTACGTGCTCGGCGAATAACGAGTTACTTTATGTAGAGAGTAACGAAGTAGTGCAATATATTACTTATTTTTAAAGTAATATGTAATATGTAATATATTACAAAAATGTAGGAACGACCCCATCTCTGCTCATATCCCTCTATTTCATTCCCTGTTACTAAAGTGCTGATTCTGGGTATAAAGCTTTAAAAAAATGAATAATACAAAAATGCATAAAGAGGGGGCGGAGCTCATGCCTGCTCATGCGGGAGATTTCTACCGGCAGATACTGCCGTGATGAAACCACATCAAGGATTATTTCTGAAACAGTATGGAGCTCAAATGCTTTTTCTCTTGCCGGTTTACCACAAGTTGAGTTCCTTTTTATTTCCTGCTTCTTCACACATTCGGGCCGTTTCTCAATCGCGAGTACACATGCTGCAGAGCAACTATTTCAAGTATACTACGTCATAGAGTGGCGCAGAATGCTGGGCATTTAACATGCATTTAAACAGTCCTCCGGCGCCACTCGATGACGTAGTATACCTGAAATAGTTGCTCTGCAGCATGTGTACTCGCGATTGAGAAACAGCCACTTTCTCCAGTACAGGTTAGCTCTGGGTGTTAGCGATGCTTGCACATGTAAACAAAGACCATATTACATCCAAAACAGTCTGCATTGTTTCTGATAGCAACGTTTCTGATAGGGCCGTGGTTCCGCATTGCCGATATTACGTCATATCGGACACAAATCTGGATCAGCTCCACTGTTCCCCCGTTTTTAGAGATTCGGGTACGGAAGAAAAGAGAGAAGATGTTATTTTGCTGATGCTGTGTGAGTTCCCGGACACACCGGGGACACATATTTATGTATAAAATACATTAAAAAGTGCATTTAGCATGATAGGTCCCCTTTAAGGAGTCCGATGTGGAACAAAAAAAGTACAGTGGCCTTGAGGGTTCATTGAGAGAAAAAACTACACTGCCCAGACAAAAAAAAGTAACCACTTTGATTTAACTAGGCCAGTAGGTAAGGGCATTCCACTGGATAATAATAC